ATATTGCCACATCAGACTTTTCTCCCCTAGATAGAAGCCTCAGTGAAAGATGAAAGCCTGAATCCAATAATGCTGGCATTTATATTATGTGGCCTGTATGAACTACAAGGAATGTATAATGTGTAATATACCATTTATGGAAGGCAGCATGGGAATAAAGTGGCTGTCTCACTATTTATAAAGAATGGTGATAGATAAAAGACCATTGTTGATAAAAGATATTAAAAACCACACTAGCCAGTTTTACAAAAGCATTGTAATCCCAATTAGATAGGTAGAAAAGAATCAGACCAGAACATATTTTGAGTTAATATGACAGATTTGATTTTAGTTTATAATCTTAGGCAGTGGTTGATTTCTGCAAATGATTCCCATTGCTTAAACAGAGAAAATGTGTCATGCAAAATATTTATGTATGTTTTGTTGCTTGGATCTTTGCTTTTCAACTGATACTCTATTATCTCTACATCATCTAGAAGCATATTTTATATGGGAGCTATTTACAGAGCATGCTTTCCTGTATATTCACTGAAGGGAATCCCTTCTGGAAATCACTCTTTCCTTAAGCATCAATTAAATTCATACATCTATGAAAATTACTTTTCTTAGAATTATTCTTCTGTTTGCCTTCCTTTTCCCTCCTATTTGTCATCTTGGCTTCAAATCTAAGTTGCATTCCCAGCATTGGATAAAACACTCTTCTCCCAGCCTGTTGCACTTGACAGGCAGGAGAAGAACAAATAAAGGTTTTAATTCAATTTACTGAAGTACAATTTAACTTCAGGTAATAATTAAAGCAGTAAAGTTAATGATCTTGATTGTGTTCAGAATAAACCGCAAAATGAAAAATGAAGCTAACCTTGGTATTAATAAGTGAAACAGCAGTATTTCCGAGATCAGGAGAAAGTGTAGAGAAAGGAAAATAAATCTGTAATGATTGTAAAGTACCAAATGGTCTATTATTCAGTTACATTATTTCTTAATTTGCAGAGAGGGTAACATTCATATTTTCTTCGTAGTGCACCAAGAGCTGTAGCCAACTTTGAAAGAATGAATAGAAATAGAAATTTTAGGATATATGCCTTCATACTTATTTTTTAAAAAACCCTAACTTTGGATCATGAGAACTCATCAGACGATAGAGGAAGTTTCTGGTATGATAAGTTGACATACCTACATCAGCAGCTGATATGAAAATTCTTTCCCCACTTGCACCTACCTTATTGATGATACGCATATGCTGTGGTAATATATATTTTTGCCTTACCCCCATGATGATCTCAACCCATGAGGCTTAAGCTGCTCTTAGTTGTACTGGTACATTTCCCTCTTATCCCAAAATTGTTTTAGAGCAACCTTAAAGGTAAAGGTAAAGGTTCCCCTCGCACATATGTGCTAGTCGTTCCCGACTCTAGGGGGTGGTGCTCATCTCCATTTCAAAGCCAAAGAGCCAGCACTGTCCAAAGACATCTCCAAGGTTATGTGGCCAGCATGACTAAATGCCAAAGGCGCACGGAATGATGTTACCTTCCCACCAAAGGTGGTCCCTATTTTTCTACTTGCATTTTTTATGTGCTTTCGAACTGCTAGGTTGGCAGAAGCTGGGACAAGTAACGGGAATTCACCCCGTTATGGGGCACTAGGGATTCAAACGGCTGAACTGCTGACCTTTTGATCGACAAGCTCAACGTCTTAGCCACTGAGCCAGCACGTCCCCTAGAGAGCAACCTTAGGTTCCATAAAATTAATCCGGCTTCCTTAGTCATTATTTTGGAGAGGAGTCAGCTAATTCCCATGACTTAAAACAAAATATAGGTAAGGTAGAAATTATAATGGGAAATAAAATGTGTTTCTATAGATTTCCACAAAATCAGGAATGGATGGAGAATATTTCAACTAAGTATTGGGGAAAGGCAAGGCCTGAAACTATGGGATAATTTGTCAAAGAAAATATAATCATGCCTTGCAATTGCATCTTTCAGGGAAAAGAAATTCACAAAAAGTCAAATACTGTGTTGCTTTCCTAGTTTTTACTCAGTTGACAGTATCTAATATTATAACTTGATAGTTTCACTGATTTGGCTTATTATAGATTATCAGTTGCCTTGAGCAGCTAGAAAAAAATAGTTTCCTATCCCATTAGATTATCTCCATATCATGTAATGTCAGCCCTGTTAAATTTCTGTGCAGCAAGCTGTATAGCTAGGTACATGCCTCACAAATATCACACACATAGCCAAGGAAGGGCCACACAGACCCAGGTGCACATCTTTTCCTATTCTCTTTTTTATTTCCTCATTACATATGTGTTACTCTATCTTTATTTCAAAATGCTGAATTTTTCAGAATGCAAGCCATTCTATACCATCTCATTGATTGACAGGGTTGAATTATGAAGAAATGACATTGGGCCAAAGATAATGGTTTGGTGGCTAAATAATGGAGAGAAACTGATTAAATCAGCAACATGGATGGCAAGTTGTTGCTATGCAGCTTGGATGGGGGCAGAGGGCTGTGTTGGGGTAGAGAATAATAAGATATTTTATTTTATTCCTTTTAAAAGATATTCTTGGGAGTTTTTTTATGGCGTTGCTTATGCCACTGTCAAAGCAACAATAGCAAAGTTCAAACCCAGCAAGGCACATATTATGAGATGATGAAATTGTATTAGGATTTGAAATACCACTGAACAGAGTCTTGCAAGCTTTGAAATGGCCTTGTAATAAACAGTGGGAAATATAATCAATAAGAGCGACAGATACAGGTATCATTCATTGTCCAGTTGATTGAGATCTTAGCAAGCATGGACCATGTTTCTCTTTTGTTTTATTTTTCTCTCCAGTGTACTAAAAATCATCTAGAGTAACTAGACTATCATGTATTGAATGCCAAGCAGATCATTTTCTCTCAGTAAGGGGCAGAGGCCTGTGAAGAATGGAGTAAGGCAATATTTCTTTCTGGAAATAAGAGTTAGATGCACCTGGTGGTTGAAAAAATGAATATGGTGGTATTAAGAACTTCAAGCCTGAGTTAATATAAGATATAAAGAATATCCCATTTTTTTGCCATTTTTTTCTTTTTTTTGGAGCACCAAGATATTGTTAGTATATCTGATTGATGCACAGTCAGCCAGATGTTTAGACTGGATCTGGCATTTTTGTCTACCTACCGAGTCCTTCCCATGGATCTGGGATAGGCAGAGATTTTGTTTAATAACATTAAAGGTATTGTCACAGGATGTAAGCTGTCTCAAATACAGCTATCTTTCGCAATTGAAATGATAGTGATTTTGTCAATGCAATTGATGCTCCAGATGTTTTGTAATTGCACCCAAGGTGGCTACTATTTTCTTTTGCCATAGTGTTCTACTTCTTATTTCAAGGTCTTTTCTCCAGTTCTTTGTATTCTGTAGTCACCAGCTGTTGCAATATGTACTATCCACAATTTGTTGTTTTTCTTATCAACAGTTGTTAAATCTGGGATGTTATGTGGCAGGTGTGTCTACTTAGAACTTTAGCTTCTTTCTTTTCTATTACTTTGTTTACTTTTGTGGTCCCAGCACTTCTTGCTTGCAGGCAATTGGTATTTCTTACAAATATTCTAATGCATCATTGTCATGTCATTATTTGCGCCCTGTGCAATCTCCTTGAAGTGGCTAACTGTTTCATAAGCTTTTTGGAGAAGTAGCAATAGCTCTGTGTTTGCCATCTTCTCAATTCTGGAATACAATTCTTTTATTCATTTATTATTCATTTCTTTTTCTGTTTTCAAGCATAGTATACAGCATATGTATACAACATAGTATCAGCATAGTATACAGTATGTATGGATCCAAGTAGTGTGGCCGTCCACAATTTAACAAATGGGAATTTTGTTAATGCATAGCTTTTCTAAGTGCCTACCAAGTTTTTTTTGGTATGACACCAAGTGTGCCGATATTCACTGGGACCACTAGGCCCTGTTTTATGCCATAATCTTTCAACTTCAATTTTCAGATCTTAATAATTTGTTATCTTTTCCAATTCCTTATCTTCCATTCTACTATCCCCTAGAATTTCCACATCAATTATCCTATTTTCAACTACAATTATATTTGGTGTGCTATGAGCAAGAATTTATTATTACTATTATAAACATGTACCAAAATTTGCATTAATATCTAAACATGCAAAAAAAAAATCCTTTTTTTTAAAAAAAAAGTTTTACTTTAACAGAAAAGATAAAAACATGTATATATTTATATTTTGTTAATATGCATATCCATATTAAATACTTAGAATCCAATCCATTATGAATTCCTTCATTAATAAATTTTAAAAACTGAAATTATGAAAATGATTCAATAGTAATTTTTTTCATCAGGATAATTTGCTATCATTTGGTCAGCTAACAACATCCTTCATAAATTTTAAATATTGCTGATACAAATAACATGCATTTTTTCCAACATTTTGTTATAATAAATCTGGCAGCTAATAATATGTTCCATCTTAGATTTAATAAGGCTCAAGGGTATTAACAATAAAGCTATACTAGAATTATTTAACTTTATTGTGCAATTTTTCTATTATTCTAAAAACATTGAATTTAAACAGACACTTTGAACAAGTCTTTTTTATTATTCTATTTTTATTTATTAAAAAAAGTTAAAAAACAAAATACAAATTAAAAACTTCATTTTTTCTTTAAAAAAACAAAGAAAAAACACACAAAAGAAACCAGACATTTAAAAAGTGCATTAAAAAACCTAATACATACACACATATTATCCCTCCTAGTTGAATACTGATTAATACATTACAACTATATCAGTTTCCCTTCCCTTGTGAAACAGACTCCCTCCCCCAAATTTTAAACTACTAAATGTATTTGTAGTTTATTAGCCTGACATATACTACATTAATGAGGAAATAATTAACAGGAAGAACAATAATGATAAGAAAGATAAGACTAAAGATTCAAAACCCTCTGTTAACAAACTATTATTTTAATCAACTCAGTGGGTTGCTACCGGTGAACTGCCAAACGAAAAAATGGATGCCTGTGATTTTCCGACCACTCCCAGAGGGAAATGGAATCTTCAAGACTCTCCTTTACAGGTGGGTCCTCAGGAATCTGAAAGCTGTCTTGGGCCATTCCTAAGTGATCCCATTCAAATGCAGGGAACCAGCTTTGACAGCAAAATCGGCAGATTGTCACAGAGAAAAGTAAAGTTCAGACCTTCAGCAGCCATCTTGGGGAGCACTGCTTTGAACAGTCTAATGCAGTTTAAAGGAGGTATATCATTATCTATTGATTATTTCATAGCCAAATATTTATGATTTGCCAAAATAGATTTATAGGAAATTTTATACTATAAAGAGTTGCAAAGTGACTTATAAAGTTCAAACCCCAAGCTCTCTTTTTCCATACATTTAAGTCTTGTTAGAGGACCTATTTTGTTTGTTTACATAATATTGAAGAGGTTCTTTTGATTTAAAACAAAGTGACAATACAACAAACTTTTTTTATGTTCTTGATTGTTAAAGATTCCTGAGCTAAAAGAGAAATGAGTGTAGTGTTCATTTGAAATAATAATGGAATCAATTATTTTCAAGAGAGGTGATTGATTGATTGATTGAGTGATTGATTGATTGTGTTTCTAGTCCACCCATCTCATTCAAAGAGGGACTTGTATTAGTTGGAACTTCCCCTAATTTGCCTTTTCCAAGCTTTTTTTTTTTTTGTACCCTGTTTCCCTTTTCTGTTGAACTGTATGCTTTTTTTCATAGTAAAGTCTTTCTTCTCTTTCCCCAAATTATATAAAATAGTGAGTGATGTTTACTAAATATTGTCACAGAACTATAGGGGCTAACAGATGTCATAATATGGTAATACTATACCATAAATTATGTAAGAGTTAGTGCTTACTAACTCTTTACTAAAGCAGTGCATTTTTCTTAAATGCAGAATACTCCAAAATCCCAAGGTTTGGCCCTACTGAACATAGGTCTGATATTCTTAGTGATGTCTATCATATCTTTTTTCTACTATAAGCTTGCTCTACAACATGTGACACTATCCCTCTAACCGAATTCTTGGTTGCCTTCAGTTTCCACTGTGTCTATGATGAAACTGAACTAGACCTTCCTATCACCAAGCCTCAATTTTCTTCAGACTTTATAAGTAAGAACAATTTTGAACTCCAGCCAAAAACCAAATAGCAAGGCAGCTGTTTTCAAACTATAATAATACAAGTGGATCCATTAGCAACCTAGTAGCTACATCATAGAGACAGTAATGTTTCTCAGAAGTCCAAACTAGAAATTTACCAGATTGTAAAAGACTGTGAGCTGTTTCTCTATACAGTAGTATCTGGAAAGTCTTGGGGACTGGGAATAGGAAGATGGGCCACATCTAATGTTTTCAAAAATTAAATGCTGATGATTCCACCCCCACCCCAAAAAGCTAGAAAAGCCTACCTGCATTTATCTTATTTCTTATGAAAATAGTGTAGAAAGAGATATAAACATTTTGGAATATCTAAAGGAATAAATTTAAAAGAGGTAAGAACAGAACTAGTAATAACATCTCAATTTTTTTAAAAAAGCCCCATTGCTTGTCTGCAGTTCCTCGATAAATTAAATGTGCTGCTGCCACCACATCTGATGGCATTATTTGTTTATTGGTGCTGGGCATGCACTTCTCAGACACGGGATTCTTTATTATCAGATGCTAGCCTTATATAAAAGTTAGAGTAAGGCATCTGAGAAAAGTTTGTCAGTAACATCCCCAGCACCAGATACACTGCTGATTTATTTGTTCTGAATAAAGTGAAATAACCAAAAACGATGTGTGGGGGATTGAAACATTTTATCCACAGCATGGTACATGCTACGCCTTTACTTTCTCTGCTTGAGATGCCAGAATGTTTTCAAATAGGATGTAAAACTGCTTTATAACCTGTGCACAGATGTTATCTTCCTACCTATGATAAAATAGTTGGGGGTAAATGGGAGGAACTGTGAGCATTTTCTAATGTTCTGCACTTTTTTTTCCACATGCATTGAGAATAAGACTTAATTTTGCATAATCTCGGCTCAGGTAAGAGGGATTAAAAAGTTTCATACTGAGTTTCTTAAAAATTAAGTATTGGCCATTTGGATAGCCTACAAAAATGGTAGAAACTAGTGTTCCTTCCCATCATTGAACTAATGCATGCCATCTTTCTGATAATCTGATAATTATAGATGACCTGGTTGAGCCCGAGGGAAGGATCAAACATGTCATCAGTCTTGATTCCTTTTGTGCCCACAAGAGCTTTAAGACCAGTCCACCTTGAATTCCACTGACTCTTATCTAGCACCAATTTGCTTAGAACATTACTAATTCAGATTCTTGTAGAGAGCATTAGCATACAATAATCCAGTTTCATTTGAATTGCCTGGACTCCTGATTTCCTGCACTTGACATAAACCTTCTGATAATCTAGACAATGAAGACAATGACTTCTAATCTATGGATATAACCAAACATAATGCCAGTAAACCACTAAACATGATAGCATGAGAATATTTCCTAGGCTTCTTGCTCCATCCTATTTTCTTCTATCTTCTTGGACTGGATGTCCATTTATTTCTATTGTAAGTTTTGAACTAGTAGATACTAGGCTATGCAAAAGAGTTGTTAATATTTATGTAAGCCAAACAAAATTACCATAAATGTTTTCATGCAAACTTTGATGATACTAATAATGATTGGCAATGAAAATGAATGGGAAGTCTCATTCACAAAAGCTTCTGCCCTAATTATTTCTTTGTGATTAGCAAAATGAATCACTTGGTTATTCCATACTCCTGAATCCAGCAATGTGGCTTTCCAGAAAACATTATGAGCCTTGAAAACCATGAGATCTAACAAAAATTAATTATTTAGTAATGCTAAATAAAATATATCTTATTATAACATAATATAATATAACATGTATAACCATATATCTATATAATATAACAGATATAATCATAGAAGATGATTTTTTTTATTGGAGCAGTGAAGGAAGACTGGTAAATTGTTAGCTGCTTCAAATTGCAAACTCAAGTCTAATTTTCCCACTAACAGTTTAAATTTATTTAAATGTATAGTAAATAGAATGTAATAATTCCATTTCAACAATCAATTTATGAAGTGAGGAATTACATTTTTTTGTTGCATAAATTTTCATTTACTCAACTAGAAGAATTTAAGGTGTTAAATTTTCTATTTTTGGGGAGGGGGTAAATACTACTTATTGAAAAAAAACACCTTTCTATAATCTTCTCATGTTCTGTATTAATAGAATGTGTAAATATAATTAAATTAAATACTACTCTTCACAAATATTTATATAATATTTTATAGAACATGTAAATCATTGTATGTTCAGTTTATACATTTTTTAAAAAAAATATGCATCCATTTAAATTTTTAAGATTGTCTTATTGATACTTAAACAAACATTAACTTTTAAGTAAGGGCATACAAGTTTCCTCTTAGTTTTTTAATGCATGTCAAGTTTTATAATATTGCAACTTGTACCAAATTTTTGTTTAAAAATTCTCAAACCTAGCAGTGATAGGTTTAAAAAGCCAATAACAAATTTGTTATTGTATTTTTATGTTCTAATGATTTGTCTTTAAAAACAGATATAATGATCCCTATTGAAGACATTTGGGGATATTTTTGTTTGTTATAGCATTTACTTTTGTAAATAAAGGTATTTCTCGACTTACAGCAGTTCATTTACTTGATGGTTCAAAAGTACAAAAAAGTACTTATGTCCTGGTCCTGAAATTATGTATGTTGCAGCACCACAGTGGTTATTCACCCTTATGGCCAACCACAGAGATGCTGCAACATGCCCCCCTGTCTATTTCCCCCCATTCTGCCCCACCAGGTCTCCACAGGCACTGGGCCTACTTTGCTAGTCCCCCAGATTCCACTTGCTGTTACTGATTGCTCACTTACCTTTCAAAGATCTCCAGAGTTCCAGAACAGGCTGGCCCATGTCACGTGGCAGGAAAGTGGCAGTCTTTTTCTCAGCTGCTGGTAAATTTGTTTTCCTTAGATCATGCATTCTTACACATGCTCGTTTTTATATTTCTGTGCAGAGGATAGAATTGTCTGTAAGAACACGTGATCTAAGGAAAACAACTTCGCCAGCATCTGAATAAAAGTCGGCTGCTTTTTTGCCATGAGGCCAGTGACCCCATGGGCCTTGTTTGGTCCTGGCCTGGGTGATGCTGCAGGTACCTTCTGCTTGCTGTTAGGTGGCTGGTTTGGATGTGTGACTTCAGGGATTGCAGCACAAAGGCAGTGGCGGGAGCCAATCAACATGAGACATTTTTCATGCTGTTTTAGTTGGAGGAGAAGGTGTCCCACTGGGCGGTTGGGTGGCTGGCTGGCTGAGGTAGTTGGGTGGCTGGTTGGGAGAAACAGCAGGAGAACTGAGCTGAAGCTGGGGATGCCTGAGCCCCTTGCAGTGACCAGGATATTGCTTGCCATGCCTGAGATTCCTGCTCTGCCCATGCTTGCTCACTTCCCACAGAACTCACCTAGACCTTGCCAAATTCTGCTGCAGTGATGGAGATGGAGAGCTTGGTACACATGCTGCTCTTCACTTATTGGGCACACTCCTGGAGAGATAGGATAAGCAGGGAGGCTCCTACGGGCCATGAGGGAGAGGACATTCCCGTGGGGTGCCCGTCCACTGCTGCCAGGTCAATGCCATGGATGCCATGTCTGGGGGTCCCATGTTGCCCATGTTTGCTCACCTCCTGTGGTGCCTCAGGCTCTGGCAACCAACAATGAAAAAAACAATTTTTCATTGTTTCAATCTTTCCAACTTACTTTAGTTCCAAAATAATGTAAAACTGAAAAATAGTAAATTAATTAAATTTGTGGTAATATCAACTCTGAATTATCCAATAGATTTATGAGAGAGAGAAGTATTCAGTTTTTTTCAAGTCTTTTCTTTAGGGGTAAACATTAATGGATAATATATCTAACTCTTGATTAATTAACCTGTGATGAAATATTTCCAAGGATTTAAAATCTATTTGCATTGTTTACTGGCTTGTTTTTC